AGTGGAATTCAATTCATATTCTTAATTAAAAAGTACATTTTTACCAATTATGAATATATATTATGTGATAAAATCGTAAAATAATTCAAATACTGTAGAGTTAAATTAGAAAATAATAAATTTCATGTAAATCATTTCTTAAGAACCTATAGTCCATAAATCCATAATCAATAAAAGTATATCATTATTGTCATCGATTCTTTTTCATAGAGATCTATACTCGCATAGTTTTAAACATTTTTGAATCTTAAAAGTAAATATATTATTATCATTTTAACTTTCATTTTATACAATTTCCTTTTTTAAAACAATAAAAGTACCAATATTGTTTTAAGTCGAAAATTTTCAGTTTTTGTAATATTCTATAATTCTGTTGAAAAGTATGTTTCTAGATTTTTCTGTTATCTTACATGGGTTACATACCTTAAACTTTTAAATTATGATTCCATGTTCTTTCTATTTTTTTTTTCCAATTTATATATCCTCTTTTGTTTTCTCATAAGTCTTTTTATTTTATTCTCTATGTACCTTGTTATGACTTATATTTTTTCTAAATTACTATTTTTCAATTTTTGTTCTCTCCCTACCTTTTTATGATTTATATTATCTCTATTTTCTTTCTTATTTTTTATAATTAGTTTTGACAACTAAACATTTTGTATTTTTCTTAATTAGTTTGGACTATTAGAATTTTTTTTTTCTAATTAGTTTGGACTATAAGATTATTTCTTTTTTTTTAATAATTTTGTTAGTTACTTAACATTTATTTTGTTAGTATTCTATTTTTAGTTTTGTTTTAATATAATAAGATTTTAATTATTACACACACGATCTAGTGAGTTACAATTTTGTGTACGTGTCGCATTCTCACCTTCTTTTATATAATAAATATTTTGTTTTATCATTCACATTTTATTTTTCTTTATTGATTTTTTTATCTTCTCTCCGGTTTTTATCTTTACGGTTTATACTATTTATTCTCTTTCTTAATTTACTTTATAATTAGTTTGAACTATTAAATTTCTTTATCTCTTTAGTTTTGACTATTAAATTTTTTTCTTTTTTTATTAGTTTGAAATATAAGGAAATTTTACTTTTTACTATTTTGTTAGTACTTAACAATTATTTTGTCCGTTTTCCATTTTTACTTTTATCTTTTCTTAATTAATTTTAAGTATCAAATCAATTGTAGAAACATGTCGTAATTTGGTGAGTTATAATTTTGCATATATGTCAAGTTCTCATCGTGCGCATCTTCCTTTACATAATAAAATCGTGTACTATAATGATTTGCAAAATCCTAAATACTTTTATCCGATCCTTACCAACTACTTCTTCTATTCATTTAAAAAATGTTATGTTGGATGTTACACATAGATTAAAAAAAAATAAATCTAACAATTTTTAACACAGTTTGTCATTTTTCAAAAAAATACTCCCTACGTTTCAAAATATAAAATCTTACATTTTGAAAGAGAGAAAGTATAACCAATGAAATTTATTTTATA